GGAGGGTGGAGAGGCGGGGTATGGGGCCTTGTCCAAGGGAAGGATGTGGACGTGGGGAGTTGAAGGACAATGAGGATGGGTGCCTAATGGGAGGTTATAGATGGAAGAGAGATGTCCCACACGGAGAAGCTTCCCAGGTGATCTGATGGAGAGAACGGAAGGGTTATAGGAACGAGGTTGGAGAGGAGCAGTAGGGACTGTGGAAAGGTATCAGGAGAAGCTGGTGTTACCTGAGCCAGAGAGAATGGAAGGACTGTAGGAGGGGGGTTGGAGAGGAGCAGGAGGGGCTGTGGAAGGGCATCAGAAGAAGCCCATGTTACCTGCACCAGGAGAATCTGAGAGGGTTCACAGGATGAACACAGGGAACGAATGTTTCAGAGTATGAGAAATGCCTAAATTTAAGGGACCTCCAACCATTTGCCTAATTTTTGACAGTAATTGTTGGGATCAGTGAGAATTGAGATTGAAAGTGCCATGTTGACCACTGCATACCACTGTCAAGCTTGTACGTAGGCCAAGCAGTATTATAGAAAAAAAATGAAACATTTTGGTTTAAGGTCAGGGTAGAGCTTTAAAGGCTTAAGATTAATCAAAAGGCAGTTTAGAGGTGAAGAAGACGGAATGTGTGATTCTGAAGGTAAAAGGCAGCTTAGAGGTGAGCAAGGGAGAATCTGTGACTGAGTGGTGCCCATATCAAAAACTGGAGATAGGAAAAGAAATGAGATTAAAGGGAGAATATAGGAGGGAGAAAAAGAAAGTCAGACTAGCTGGAAAAAATGGTGATCCAGGCCTCTGGGAGAGCACTGGCTGGGTGAGCTTGGTTCATAGAACTTCTGAAAATGGTCCAACTCACAGGAGGGCAGCGGACCAGCCCGGCTCATCGAGGCTGGTGTCAAGAGATTACCTGGACTCTCCCCGTATGACTTTGGTGAAAAGAGGACCTGGCCTCTGCACATGGCCTTAACCAGCCAAAGGCTCCTAGGCCCACAATAGAGCCCAGAGGGGTGAGGCTGGGGAACCAGCTGGAACCCAGGCCTACAAGAGGACATCCCCAAACACGAGGCAATGGAAGGCGAGCCTGGCTGGATCAGGGAAGCAAGGCCTCCACGTGTGAAACGTGATAGTGTTATGGCTAGCCTTGGAAAGTCTCTCAACAAGATTAAAGACTAAACATCTGGCCTAAAGTTGAGACTCACTGTGGGAGCAGCAACAGGAGGCAGCTCGCCTTGTGTCCTAAAGGTGAAGAATCTGATTTCTCCTCACAGCAGGCATGAGTCTGTATGACATGGCACTTGAGAGTCTGTGATGTGGCAGTGTGTGTCTGTGACTTTCTGCCTTCTGCCTGTGGGAGCACATGAGGCTGTCTGACTTTCATGTGTAGATGGTCACTGAGAAGCTGAGACCCGAGGGAATATGGCCAGGCAAAAATGTGGATTGCACCCATTTCTGGCTGGAAAACTCTCCTTTCTTTGTGGCTTTTCTGGATCTCATGAAAATTACTTTCTCCCCTAGAGACACTTCATGTTTCCTTGGTTAAGGAGTATTAGTTTTACTGAAGAGGGTACCTTTGGTTGGAAAGTTCAAAAGCCAGAAATATCAGCTGTCCGTCCCAGGATTTGCTCCCTTTGCTTCCAGCCCTGCCCATCTTTAGCACATGAAAGAGTCTGCAGGGCATCTAAGGACTTCAACCCTTTTAAGGAACTCAGAAAAGGGGCCACTCACCCCCTTTTTGAGTCTTCTCTTTTCCCTGTGGAACCTGAAAAGGACAGATTCCTCTCAGATGTAAAACTCTGTTTTCTTTTATGTTATGTTACTTAATTTGTTTGGCTTTGGGGTGTATCAAAAATTACTTTGGGCGGTGCCTGTGGCTCAGTGGGTCGAACGCCGGCCCCATATACCGAGGGTGGTGGGTTTGAACTCAGCTCCAGCCAAACTGCAACAAAAAAATAGCTGGGTGTTGTAATGGGTGCCTATAGTCCAGGAGACTGAGGCAAGAGAAACACTTAAGCCCAGTTGTTTGAGGGTGTCAAAGTGAGATTCTGTCTAAAAAAAGAATGTCAGTTTCCACCAGGTTCAGTAAACTTAAGCCATTTTGCTACCTGAAGAAAAGAGGAATTTGCCTAGTTCATACAGGTATTATAGACAGTCTAACAAATCATTGGCTTGAATAGCCTCGAGAGGCTCTTTAAAAAAAAGTCTATTGTGAGATTCCTTATTTAAAAAGTTCTAACAAAGTCGTGTTTAAATAAAGGAGTTTAAAACCAGAAATAAAGTAAAATAAAAAGTTCTAGCAGGCTAGGGATAGCACCTCAAGCTGTAATCCTAGCACTCTAGGAGGCTGAGGCAATAGGATCCCTCGAGCCTAGGAGTTCAAAACCAGCCTGAGCAAGAGAAAGGCCCCCATCTCTACTGAAAATAGAAAAATCAGCAAGGCATTGTGGTGGGTACCTGTAGTCTCAGCTACTTGGGAGGCTGAGGCAGGAGGATCACTTGAGCCCAGGAGTTTGAGGTTTTAGTGAGCTGTGATGAAGCCACTGCCCTCCAGCTTGGGCTACAAAGCAAGATACTGTCTCAAAAAACAAAACAAACAAACAAAAAACCAATATGGTTCCAACAAAGTCAACTTAAAGGAAAGCCTGTAACTATTCTTGCTGTACTTCATGCAAATACATAAGACTAAAACTTATGTTTCAAATAAATCGGACCTACTATGATTTACCTTTGGTAACAATGAAAAACTAGAGAGAAATTATGTTTCAAGCTCCCCCCAAACCTACACCACACCTGTTAGTAGATTATAGCCCCTGTCCATTATTTTTGAGTTTTCATTATTTGCCTACAATCTTCGTCCTTCTTGATTTAATATTCTCCCCTCTCTGTGGGACAGTCTCCTAAGAATGAGCCTTCTTTGTGATGTGGGATTTGATGTAATAACACAACCATGAATTCCTGTTTTCTACAATGTTTTATCCAAAGATTTTGAAGAATGGAGACAATATAAAATAAAATAAAAATGTGAAGACCCCCTCCAACTGCTTATGCTATGCAAAAGGGACGGTAACGGCCTTAGGCACCTATGAAAGCTGGCCCCATGATCTGTCATTAATAAAGTTCCTTACTGACCTCCCACAACCAAGGCCAAATTGTAACTCTACATCTGCGGGCTAAATCTAGCTCTTAAACCCAAATTCTGTTCAATTCCACACTAACAATGAAGTTTGTCTTTACATGTGCAGAACAAAAGCAAGATAGGATTGAGCATTCTTCCCCCTTCTCAAGGATACCCACGTAATTGATGTTTCCTTCAATCTTTTTTCCTTTTTTTTTTTTTTAGAGACAAGAGTCTCACTTTGTCACCCTTGGTAGAGTGCTATGGAGTCAAAGCTCACAGCAACCTCTGGGCTTAGGTGATTCTCTTGCCTCAGCCTCCCGAGTAGCTGGGACCACAGGCGCCCGGCATGACGCCTGGCTATTTTTTGTTGCAGTTTGGCCGGGGCTGGGTTTGAACCGGCCACCCTGGGTATGTGGGGCCGGCGCCCTACTCACTGAGCCACAGAGCCACCCAATCTTTTTTCCTTTTAACATTCACTGTTCCTGATGAAGATTTCCCTGGTTCTCACAAGAATGAAACCGGTTTGTTGCACTACTCTCCTTTAAATACTAAAACTTCCAAATTCCCCTTTGGAAGAACAGCCACAGATTAGCCTGTGGTTATGTGGTTTGTGTTTTTCCCGGGTGTGTCCACAACTTTGGCTTAATAAACCTCCACTGATTAAGATCTTTGTCTCAGTCACTTATTTTGGGTTGACAGAACTTCCAATCACTCATCTGTGTTGTAAGATTAACTGCCTCTTTTATTGTCCTGTACCCAACCTGGACCACATGGTGCCTAAGACCCTGTTAGACTTTCAGTGTGGAATGTTAAACATACTTTTCCCCAAAGAAAAAGACCAGCTTAACCAATCAGATCATCGTCACTATGCATTAAGCCTTGCATATATGTGGAAATTCTACTAACCTTCCCTAAGCTTTGTATCTATGATTCCAAACTCCTACACTTCAGAACTGACTTCCATTCTTTGGAATCTGTGCTTCCCAGACAGCTGTCCTCAAATTCTGCCCTTGAATAAACTGTCTTTAAATTAAATTCTGATCCTTTCATTATTTTAGGTTGACAAGAAAAACATTTAAATCTAGTGACGAAAATTTCATTTGAAAGGAAAATTGTATTGGCGAAAGTGCCTTCAAATAGAAGAGTAACAAATCATACATGTAGATAAACGTTTTCGGTAAACTTCCTAGGAACTAATAAAGTGAATGTTTCTAAATGACTGGATAAGCCGTTTTCATATACAGGTGGTTTTTAAGTGGTTGCCTTCAACAAAAATGGTGAAAGCCCAATCAAGTCACTAGCTAACAAAGTTAAAAGAGATTGACCATAGATCTGGGTGAGCACCTCGGCATTGAGCCCAAACGCGTTCACCGAGCGGAGCGGCACTGCTGGCCGCATTCTCCACCCTTCCAGGTCCGGGGGTCCCGACCTCGCCCTCCCTAGCCTCCTCCCTCCAGCCCTTCGTCCTCCCTCGTCTTTCTCCCTATTCCTTCCAGGCCTCCCCTCCTCTCTACCCCTTCCCCCGCCTGCTCCCCGCCCCTTCTCTCTTCCTCTGTGCTCTCGCCCTCCTTTCACCAGGCGCCTTCTCAGCCACGCGCTCTCGTAGGGGAGGCCGCGCACGAGCGCGCAGTAGGTGACATCGCACGCACGGAGCCGGGAGGCGGATTGCGGCGTCGCGCATGCGCGTTCTTTGATGCACGGCTGGGAGCCGGGATACCGCGACCCAAGGCCACCCGCAGAGAGGCGAAGGTTGAACGGGAGAAGACTGGGCGGGGCGGAGGTTTGTGCAGGGGCGGGGCGCGAGGGGGCGTGACGGGCGTGTTCGGCCACACCCCGCGCCCCAAATATCGCGGGAGTGTCTCTTCCTGACGCGTGTGGGGGCGGGGCGCGTCGCGGGCGCCGGCGGGTGCGTTTGAATCTGGTCCGAGCGCGGGAAGCGGCGGGCCCGGAGCTGCTGGGAGTTCCACGGTGAGCGCCCGTCCGCAGCCAGAACTGGGCTCGGGGAGGAGCCGGGGGTCTGCGGAGCGGGCGGACGCTCCCCTAGGCGACGGGTCGGTCCCGGCCTCCGTCACTCCGGGCCGCAGTCCTGCCACGGCGGCTGCTCCGGGCCGGGCGGCGGCGGGTCTCCGCCCTGTGGGGTCGCGCGGGCGGCGCTGCGAACTCCCTGCCCACTCGGGGGACCCCAGGCCCGGCACTGGACCTCCGGGACGGCGTCAGGGACGCCGGGTCCCTGCGCCGCGGTGCCTGGGAGGGGGGAGTCGGCGGGCAGACCGGGCGGCGGGAAGGTGACGGAGCTGCCTCTACCGCCGCCGTAGATCCGGAGCGGACTGCGCGGGAGCCCGGCCTGGGGTCGGCAGCAGCTGGACGGCGGCGTCCTGGCCTGAGGGCGCGGTCTTCGCTCCGCGGGGCGAGGCTGAGTGTAAGTCGAGAAGCTAACGGTTAGAAAGTTAGGCCCGCGGCCGGGCGGCGGCGGGAGGGCGACATGGCCAGCCCGGTCTCCAGAAACAAATAAATACACACAGTTACGGGGACTGAACTCGGGGAGAAGTAGGGAAGCGCGGTTGTGAGTTCCGTCGTCCGCCGAGGAGGTGATGCTGTGTCAGAGTCAACTGCTGAAGGGTGCGCTGAGATCAGGGCGAGCCCCACCTGACTAGGATTGTGAAAAAATGCCCCCAAATCACCTGGTTGGAATGTTGTTTTTCTGTTTTTTTGTTTGTTTTGAGACAGTCTCACTTTGTAACCCTCAGTGCCGCGATGACCTCACACCTCTCAGCAACCTCAGACTCTTGGACTTAAGTGATTGTCCTGCCTCACCCTCACCGGTAGCTGGGACTACAGGTGCCCGCTACCAGGCCCGCTGATTTTTCTCTCAAATTCCTGAGCTCAAGGGGTCCTCCTGCCTTGGCCTCCCAGAGTGCTGGGATTACAGGCGTGAGTCACTGTGTCTGGCGTATTTGTTTTTCTAAAATGATGAACTTAGTCATTAGTCATCTTGGTGCTTCCTGGCCACACTCTCTGCCCTCCCAACATTTTTGGCCAGTAAAAAGTTGCAGTCATAACCAGGCTCAGTGACTCACTCTGGGATGCAAAGGCAGGAGGATGGCTTAAGCTCATGACTTCAAGACATGCCTGAGGTAGAGTGAGACCCTTCTCTATTAAAACGAGGAAAACGAGCCAGGTATCAGTGGCAGGCACCTGTAGTCCCAGCTACTCGAGAGGCTGAGACTGCTGTCAGCTATGACTGCATGGTACTCTACCCAGGGTGACACACTGAGACTGTTTCCAAAAAAAAGTTGTAGTCATGCAGTTAACAATGGGGATATATTCTGAGGAATGTGTCCTTAGGTGATTTTGTCATCATGGAACTCCCAGGGAGCACTCACACACCCCTGGACTGCAGGTCTGCACAGGTGCTACTCAGTGCTAAGTATCTGTGTGTCTAAACATAGAAAAGGTACGCTAAAAATATGATATGAGAATCTCCTGGGACCACTGTTAGGAACGGCCATCATTAACCAAAGCAATGTTATGTGGCAGTGACTTCAATGCATAGCTTGGCTATTTAAGGGGAGGAATGAGGTGACCACAATGCAGTGTTATTCATGTGGGGGATCATTCAAGTGAGGTTATCCTCTACTTTGTCCATTTTAAACTTTAAGAGCTAATATTTATATAATTAAAATGACTCCCTATTCCTACAATTATTGGTGGTAATTTTCCATATTGCTTCATTTATAATGGTATAATGGCTTTTTTTTTTTTTGAGACAGAGCCTCAAGCTGTCCCCCTGGCTAGAGTGCTGTGGCATCAAAGCTCACAGCAACCTCCAACTCCTGGGCTCAAGCGAGTCTCCTACCTCAGCCCCCCAAGAAGCTGAGACCACAGGCGCCCGCCACAACGCCTGGCTATTTTTTGGTTGCAGCCATCATTGTTATTTGGCGGGCCCCAGGCTGGATTCATACCCGCCACCTTAGGTGTATGTGGCTGGCGCCTTAGCCCCTTGAGCCACAGGCACCAATCAGGCTTTTGTTATTTTTGAAGTGGGAACCCTCTTGTGAATTTGTTGCATCATATGCTGTTACTTTGTCTTTAGCTTGCTGTCTTTTGAGTAAGGCACTGCTAGCACCAGGTGTTGGGACTGTGCACTAGGGTTTCCTGGGGGAGACACAGGCAGAAAGGAGGGGATTGCTTGGTCCCTGAGCTCTTATTACCTCACAGGTGGGAGGAGAGTGCTGTGGCTTAACAAGCTCCCTAGTGACCCCAGGGCCACTGTTCTTCATCTCACTTTGAATAACAAGATGACTCTCACAGTGGGATTTTTTTGATGGGGAAATCGTGCTTTAGCAAGAGAGAATCTTCAGAATTCAGCAGTTGGGAGCAAATTGTCCTGCTGAGGTGCTGCTGGGAGAGAAGGTGAGCTTCCTGGCATTTCAGAATCCTCTTTTTCTTAGTTGGTAACTTTATTGACCATGCTGTGATAGCATACATATTATCATTGATATTGCGTTGATAATATACCGAATAACAGAAATAAGTAAATTACTTTTCTGATATTACAACTTGTTTTATGTCAAAATGTTGTTAGAAACTATCTGCTATAGGTGGCATAGGAATTGATTTTCAATTCTTAGATGTTAATGTCAAATTTAATCTTGTAGGAAAAGCTATATTTGTAAATGTAAGTTCCATTATGATTGTGTTTTCCACTAGGGTCACAAAATAAATGCCATTTGAACAGCTTCATCTGTCATGGAAAAACGCGGGACGTTTGTACAAGTGGTGTCTAAGGAGCTGGTTGGAGAGTTTCTGCGATTTATTCAACATGATGTAAGTTTCATGTTTTATTTTAGCTTTAATGTGAATTTGTTTTTTTTTTTTTT